GGCAGCTGATGGTGGTTTTAACATCATTTACTGACCATGAAGTCTTAGACCAAGTAATACTAAGGATCCCTGATAGTTTCCTCCGTTTAATGAAATAAAAACAAACTGCTGGAGGAATGAGGGATGGAGGGAAGGAGAGAGGGAGAGAGGGAGAACAGAGTTTCACAAAACCTCCCAACTAAGCCACAGTTCATTATTTGAACATAGTACAATCTTCGTTTGTTATCTACTAGATACAGATAAGGATATGAGTAAGAGCTGAAAATATGGAGGTTTGGTGGTGATTAAATAAGTAAGATGAAACAGAAATCGACTAAAAGATGGGTAAATGAAACGCATACAATGTTAGAATCCATTCGATACAGCTCGAAATCGATCGCCTGTTTACTGATACCTCAACTGTTTATTTGATTGTTCTCTTCCTCCCAGATCATGCTTCATTTCCCTTATTTGTTTCTTCTGTCTTTATTAGTAGTAAGTTGAACTGATGCCCTATTACATCACATTCTTGAATGTTCTATTCATTACCACCTTTAGCAGAATATTCTGATCTTCACTTAACGGCTAATCCCTGTTATACATCCAAGTATTCGTTCCTTTTGTTTCAGTTCAGTACTATACATGCTTGAGAAAATATTACAGTAAGACTGAATAAGAGAACTTCTAGGTAAGTAAATTTTGCAAGTTGATATTTAGACTTAGAAAAGATCTTGACAATTTAAGCTAGAAGTAAACCTAATTCACTAAAAGAATTGAAAATCAGGACCACTTATACTTATGAGTGAACGATAACATTCAACTATTAACTTGAACTCTGTTTCAATGCTGCTACTGGAAGTTTACTCAAATGTCATTTATATGTTGCATTGCTTAACTATCAAGTTATCTTGATGTAATTCAACTAGAGATAAATTAGTAAAGGAAGTCAATGACAAGCTGTTGATTAAACTACCTGATGTAGATTGGGTTAACAGGTTGATGGGTTAAAATGTCACTCATCATGTTACTATTATTATTATATTATTAGTCCCTTGGGTTCCTAATGGAACATAGGGCTTCAGTAGCACATCTCCAATGCGTTCTGAAATCTTTTGAACCTGGCTCCACGACAGCCCACAAACTCTCATTTCTTCCTCACACCATCTCCTCCATATCACCCTCACTTCGGACGCCCAACTCGTCGTTTCCTATCTGGGTTCCACTCGAGTGCTTGGTGCGTGATGTCCCCAGTCGGCTTTCTCAGTGTATGCCCAATCCATCTCCACTTCCTTCTGCATATTTGTTGAGTGGTAAGTTCTTGGTTGGTTCGTTCCATACAGGAGCACTGATTTGACGTTGGTGCTGAAAATCCGCATCTTGTTCCACATGCTTAGTGCAGAAGATCTCCACACTGGTTTCAGGCTAATGAACGCCTATCTTGCTTTTCCGATTCTCACTTTGACCTCTTCGTCTGTGCAGTCGCCTGTAGTTGAAGCAGTGCTGCCTAGATAGGTGAAGGAGGTTACTTCCTTTAGGTTTCTGCCGTTGATGGTGATTGGAGTTTGTTGTTGTTGTTGGTGGTGGTGGTTGTGGTGTTGGTTGGGTATCTTCATCACCTGTGTCTTCTCTACATTCACTCGAAGTCCCATCTCCACTGCCTCACCTCTTCTCTCAACTTGTTGAATTTTGACTGTAGATCTTCAGGTTTGTGTGACATAAGACACAAGTCATCGGTGAAATCCAAATCTTCTAGGATCTTTTCATCGATGCAGCCAGTGTATGCCCGTCTTCTCGCCCCCCACAGTAGTCTGTTGCATGATCCAGTCAGTTGACCACAATCAGGAAGATGATGGATGAAAGTAGGTGGCAACCTTGTCTTACTCCTGTCTTTACTTCAGAGGCATCACTGAGTTTCCCATTGTGAAATACTTGGTATGTGGGGACTTCATATAGTTGTTGAATGAGATTGATAGTGGTTTGTGGTAGTGAAACTGTAGTGTTGAAGCAGCAGTTTCGAAATTACTTGTCGGTCGACGCTGTGGGAGGCCTTTTCAAATTCGATGAAGTTGAGGTAGAGAGAGAGAGAGAGAGAGAGAGAGAGAGAGAGAGAGAGAGTTGACTGCTCTTCTCTACTCTGTTCTATGATGATGTGAAGCGCAGCGTTGCAATTTGATCCTCACATGATTTATACTTCCTGAATCCAGCCAGCCTGTTCCGGTGATAGTTTTGAATGGAGTGCATCGTTTAGCCTTTCCAGGATGATGCGGCTTAATATTTTGCTTTGGGTGGACAGGAGAGTGATTCCGCGCCAGTTCTTGCAAACACTGAGGTCTCCTTTCTTCGGGAATTTGACAAGGTAGCCCGTCTTTCAATCTGCAGGTACCTTCCCTTCATTCCACACCTTCTGCAATAGTGGTGTGAGCATGTCTGCTGTTGTCTCTGAGTCTGTTCTCAGTGCTTCTGGCGGGATCCCATCTGGTCCTGCTGCTTTCCCACATTTCAGTAGCTTTATAGCGTTCAGGACTTCCACTTTTGTTGAAGAATTTATGTTCACTTGTAGTTCAGTGGCTGTAGGTGTTATTTCTGGACGAAGTGTAGGTGGTGGTCGATTCAAGAGCTTCTTGAAGTGGTCGGCTCATCGTTTCCTTTGTTTCTCTTCTTTCGTAGTTAAATTTCCGTCATCACCTTTTATTGGCTTCGTCTGCGTAGATCTCTTCCCAGATAGCAACCTGGTTATTTGATACAACGTCGTCAGGTCTCTATCTCTCCTACCTGCAGCCTGTTCTGCTTCACTTGTCAGTGTTTTGTAGAAGTGTCTTTTGTCTTTCCGCGAACTCTTCTTCACTTCTTTGTGCATTGTACATATACATATACATTGCACTCAGTTCCTCTTGTCGTAGTTCATCCCTGCACTGGTTTATCATCTGCTTCACCATCCTCCTCTCCTCTCTCAGCTTCCAGGTATCCATCGAGATCCATTCCTTATCTTCTTTCTTCCTAATACGGTTGTGCAGGTTTCTTTCCACATCTCTTTCAAAGGCTTCCAGTGTTCTTCCACACAGGTTTCTTCAAGGATGTTCCTCCATATCTCCCATTTTGTCTTGATGGCTGGCTGCCGTGAAGATTTCCTTTGTAGTTTCATGCTTCAGTTTCCGAGTGTTGTACTTGAATTGAGGTCTATCACCAGCTTCTTTGAAGGCTTTCAACTTGATTTGGAAGATTCCTTGCACCAGATAGTGAGTGGTGTAAACCTACATCTTCTCCTCTTCTTGACCTTGTGTCAAGTAGGCTGCGTCTCCACTTTCTTGAGATTGAGATAAAGTCGATCTGATTTTTAGTGCATTCATCATGTTAATGTAAGTTTTTGCTCTAAGTAGTGATTTATGTCTACGATATGACAGCCAATAATGTCAAAATTCAGCAAATAGGACTCGACCCCAACTCATGAACTATTGGCTAACTTTACAGATCAAAGAACTGTAGCTTATGAATGACAAAGAATACAATGATAAAATATGATATGATCAAAAGGTAAGATGTTAAGAGAATATTTTTCTCGTCTCTAGTCAAATTGTCTCATTCTATTCAAATCTAGCCAATGATCTCAGGTTCAATTCATTTTTATCATCATACTGTATACGGTTTTTCAGTGCGAACATCTGAGGTAGCCGTGATTTGGCAGTCTGTCAAACACACTGATAATCAGTATGATGCTCCCCTCTAATAATTCAGCTCAAATTAGATTCTTACGAGAAAACTTACCTAGGTAGTCAGTTTGAATCAGATGAACAGACAGTGACTTCACATGGTCGTCGAGTAAAAAGAACCTTGGTGACTGAAGGGGAATAAGAGTCTGGTTAGCAGTCGGGTCTTGTAGTTTAGTTGGTTGAGCACTGAACTACTTTTGTGTTTGTGTATAACTGATATATTTGATTTTCCATGTAGTTTTGTTGCTTTAAAGGTTAACATGTCCAAACAAGTTAGACATTCGAAGGTAGTGGATATAATGCAACTCAGCCCATAATTGTTCAGTTGCGCGAGAATCAGGTCATAGTCTGAAAGCTGAGTTATAATCCGACAGTCAGTATCAAGTGTTATCGGTGGATATCTGTTTTCTCTCAATTTAAATTACTCCTTAAGATCTCTACTGCACATTTTAAACTGTTAGAATTCCATCCCAAAGTTACTACGAGGCAGTGAATTACTGTTCACATAACTGGTTAATAAACAACACTTTACCTGGGAAATTCCATACTTTTCTCAAGTTTATCAACAATATTCTCTCCGAAATTGTAACTTTATCAAATGACCTCCATTTACCAGGCTGTTAACCTGACGAAAATCACTATTACAACTGAAAGAAATTCGAAGACACGTATGAAGGAATGGATATATAATGTCAACAAGTGGGACAGTAGTCGTTAAATATGTTACACCTTGCACTAAAACCGTCATTTGCAAAATGTGCTTTATTTCCTCTCCTGCTTCTTTCTTGATTTGCTCTTCATACGCCTGTCTTGTATCTTGCGTTTCTCATGGCGAAATCTTTACCCATTGCTGGTAATTCCCTATGATTTCTGTCACCCTCCCAACATATACTACTTATATCCATTCTTGTCAGTAACGCCCACTACACTACTACTACTACTACTCAGTTTACTGGTTTCAATGCTGACACTACTACTACTCACACTACAAACTGGAATACTGAAATGATTTAAGTTTATTTTCCATGGAGATAAAAGTAAAACATAACTAGGGAAGAAAAACAAAACAAAAGTAAACATTTCTGGTGAGTGATTAGGTTAGTTAACAGAATGTTATCAAAACCAAAATATAGTATATTGCTGTTGTTAGACTGCTTAATGTCGCATTATACATATTTATTAGTTCATATGGCCATCTTTGCATATACACTTTGCAAAGAAATGAAATAAATCGAAGGGGAAAATTATTATCTTGTAAAACAAAAAACGGAGATTAATTGGAGTTAACACAATTTCATTCATGTATATGACTGCTTATCTGATAAATTCATTAGGATTGATGATGATATTATGAGTAGATGAAACAGTAGATGATGAATGGTTATCAGTGTCCACATTACTATCATTAGTAATATTACTATTATTAGTAGGAGATAAATATTCTTTATCAAGAGATTTTGTCAAGTTCTGTTCAATATTTTCATCAATTAGTGTTGTATCTGAATGTGTACGTATATGTTTATTTAAATGATCACTACGTAGAAAACGTTTATGACATAATGGACAAAGGAAACGTTTTTCACCAGTATGTGTACGTAAATGACGTTGTAATTCATCAGAACGTGTAAAACGCTTACCACATAATAACCAATTACAAACAAATGGACGTTCACCTGTATGCCATCTTAAATGAGCTTTTAAATGACTTGTTTTATTATATACCTTACCACAACCTGGTACATGACAACTATGCAAATTTTTACGTCGTAATTCAGCTGCTGTACTAGGATTAGTTAAATTTAAATGATCCAATTCTTGGCAGTTTGGACAATCACATGTTGGTCGACCAACATATCGTTTCACTGTTGTTGTTGTTGTTGTTGCTGTTGTCGTAGTCGTCCTCAAATTATTATTACTATCATTATTATTATTTGATAAAGATGATTTTATAAGATTTACTGAATAATCATTGTTAAATGAAGAAGCTATTGATGATATTGATGGTGATGACTGAAGGGTGAAATTTTTGCGATACCTATTGAAACTTTTAATCGATTCTCATCTTCTGTTTGATTATTGATTAATGGTGAATACTTTGGCGTATTATTCACTTCTATAGGATGAAATGTATTATTTGCTGATAGAAATGTTCTATAAAGTGATGTATAATCAGATTGTATAGATGAATTATTCATATTAGTACAACTATCAGGCTCCCTGATATCAGAAGTATTACTAGTAGTCGTTATTCCGCTGTTATATACTGGACAATGTGCTACAGCAGCAGCCATGAGTATCGACTTATAGGGATCATTTGTACTCAGTAAATTACACATATTATTTGACCAAAGATTATGATCATTACTTCTGGCATTATTATTATTATTATTATCATCCTTCATATGCGTATTTGACGGTGTATCGAATGATCGTAAGGATGAAGTGGTTTCAATATTGTGATAGAAGTATGGATCCCTTGGATACTGAGGGATATTTCTTTCAGATGTATGCATAAAACAATGTGATTCATCCAAAGCAACATTACGTAATGTAGTCTGATAACTATCAACATTATTATTATTATATACAGAATGAATTTGCGAATAGTTAGGATAACGCTGAGGTGAATCCCATGTACTATTTGTTGTGAAGCAGTTTCTTTCATGATTGTTGATTGATTTGAAGAATGGGGTATCTTCAGGAATCTCATTAGGGAATCTGTTGTTGATCAGTGCGTGTATACCACTTAACCAATCCGATTGTTGGTTCTGGTATTGTTGTCGGTGTTGCGTATTTGTCTGTTCATTATTAGGTAAACTAGCCTGTAGATGGTCACTATTACCGTCATTATTATTATTATTATTATTATTATTATTATTAGTTGAATATAACGACCATGGTGAATAATTTCCACCTATTTCTGTGTGAGAATATTTGTTTAAATTTTGATAAAAATTACTGTCATCTGAATTCAACTCGTGAAGATGATGATGAGGGTGTGAAGTTCTGTTGTAATCATCGTCATTCGTATTTATGTTCTTATCCAGACTGGTATGAATCGACGTGGTAGTGGTATTAATACCGCTTGTATGTTGCGTATCCTCTGAGTTCTGTAGATGACTACTTGTGGTAGTAGTAGTAGTAGTAGTAGTAGTATCGTAGCATGATGTAATCGTAGGTTGGTAGCTAGTATAAATTTCATCAGCTGAACTATATGTCTCATTCATTATATTTTTATTATATTGCTGTAATAAAAATTGTTGATAATATACGCTTGGTGATGCTGCTAGATGGCAACTAGGCTGAAGATGGATTCCTTTTGCTTCATTTTCTTCTAAAGGTATCACTATAGGATGTGTTCCTGGCAATGATAGTGACGGCGGTGGTGGTGATGATGAACTTGTCGGTAATAATGACACTGACGACGACTGAATGTGTGAATCATGCGTTGAAGTATACGGATGAGATTCATTCAACTGGTGAATAGAATTGAAATTGTTACAAACAGATGAATTCGGCGAATTGATTTCAGTTAACCTGAAATCTATGCTTGGCTTACTCATAACTGTATAGGTTGGAGAATGTTCATGGTTAAACGATTGTATCATTGTGTTTATATTGCTTTTCACTGGGGCTGTTAGATTTTCATGTGTTTTCCATAGAATAGTAGATGGTAAATTCACTTGAAATAAATTGGCAGTATCCTTAACTTCATTCTCTGAAGGAATCATTACTTGATCTTGTGATGTTAGTAATGATAAAGAAGTTGGTTTATCATTGATATAAGCTGACATTATTTAGGCAGAACTCTGTAATAATAGAAAAGAAAAGGAATATCATTTTTATGCTGTTTCAGTTGAATTAATCAATGGAAGATAACTGATATAGTTGTCAAGTCTCCTAATGTTCATCGAAGTCTGCTGACCAAATACGCTATATGATTCATAATCTAAATGAAGTGACAGAGTCGGCTACTGACTGACTCCTAACATTTGAGACTATTTAATTCACATGAACTGATGTCAGCTGGAGAACGACTGAAAATCGGGACTCACTAGACATATGTCTTGTTCTACTAACCGACTCCTCAATAGTGCGGATGCTCGACCCCACCAGAGATCCAAACTAGGACCTTCATGTTTCGTAGTCATTACGTTGCAAGTGAGTTGGGCTCAATTCCCCGTGGGGTCGTGTATGCGTACTGCTGAGGAGTCCTGTACTAGAACGAGACATCTGTCTCAAGTTCTCAGGTTTCTAATCATTTTCCAGTTGATGTCATCCCATAGTGAATACCAAATTGAAATCAATCAATAAATTCCTATACATTTTCAAGGTGAATTTCCACTTCATCCTGTCTGTTTCAATTTTCAGACTAAACTAGCTTTGAGAGGTGATTCCTGAATTTTCAATGAAAAGTTGTGACTGGTGGAACAAATCTGCTGGCCGTGAGGACAAATACTCAAAGATGACATTGGGTGTCCTGAACTAACAGAAATTGGAAATAAGGACCATTGGATTGTAACCTAGTGTCTCAATGGTAACGTGCTAGGCACGAGACTTGAAGGTAGCGGGTTCGATCCCTGGCAGGGTGGGGTCATGTGTGCGCACTGGTGAGGACTCCTTTACAGGTGGGATAAAACAGCTGTCCAGATTTCCAATAGTTCCTCCAACTGATGTCAGTCCATGGTGAATACCAACTTGATAAAATGAAAGGTTTTTAATTAATGTACACCAGTGATCAATAAGTGAGGTGAATTTCGGAGGTGAAAATAAGCCGATGGATAGTCAAACGCTCATGGATATAAGTTACAGCTCCACTACATTCGCCTAACTTCTACAAACTTCCGCTCTACTATAAAGTCATTCACTAAACTTGAAAGTGCAGTGAAATAAAAGAACACATGAACAGCATCTATCATCTCTGCAAGGAGACGCTTATTATCACAAGCAATTCATACCTAAATCCCTCCCATACAGATACAAGGAATGTATCAATGTACAGTACGTCTAGTATAAGTTCAGTATTTGTCAGTCACACGTATGTAATACCTTCAAGATGTACTTTTAAGCAATTTAAGTTGAAATGAGATGATATAGTTTACCAAAGGGTTTATTAAACTTTCTCTCTCTGTATTTTATCAATCACAGGTTGTTAATTGACAGTACACGTACACGGTGTCATTAAAATGTGATATCACTACATGGTGTCTAGCCTTATTTATGGACATTACTTATGTGAGCATTAGTGGAATTATCATATGAGCAATACTGAGGTCAGGTGAAAGACACTATACAAGATATGCAAGACGATTGATGAAGTTGTCAACCTTAGTCGACTGAGATGGCTTGGATATGTGTTACTCATGTCTAGCCACCACCTACCTTGATGTGCCATGTTAGGGAAAGTTGGATTAGGTTGCAAGAAGGTTTAGGGTGAGCAGACTAAGACCAAGCAGCAGTTCACGAAGTCTCTAACTGTTGGTGTAAGTCATATAAAGGGATGTAGACTACCTGGTTGGGATCCTTGAAATGGTACGAACTAGTGGCTGAGGACTGTTGGTAACTTTGCTGAAAATCGGTCACATTGAAGCAAATGTATTCACTCCCTGATGTCTTCTAAAGTCTGAATATTCCCACTGAGCTTCATCTTTAAATTTCACACTCTCTTGCATAACTTCGTTTACTTTGAAATCAGTCAATTTTTATCCACCTGCATTTCGTATTCTACTGAGAAGTGTAGGAACTTGAACCTACGCATTTGTGTGCAAGGTTCCACATTGATTTAGTCTCTCGATCTGACATATTTAAACCTCAGCATTTTGGGTTACAAACTGCTTCAACACTATGGATTACCACAAAGGTCCCTCAACCTCATTCAACATCACCTATATGCTATACTGTGCTGTATGATGCTACATACTCAGTGATTTACAATGGAAAGCTCAGTTGAGTGACGCCTTTGAAGTGAAGACAGGTTGACAGGTAAGACAAGGCAAGGTAAGGCTGCCACCTACAATCACCCATCATCTTCCTGATTGTGGTCGACTAGGCTGAAGTGGTGTGGTGTGGTGTGGACTGGACTGGATCATGCAACAGATAAGTGTGAGGAGCTGTAAGAAGATGGGCATACACTGACTGGCTGGACCGATGAAAACACCCCTGAACAAGAAGATTTCCATTCCGCTCACGATGATGATGATGATGATTTGTGTGTAATGTCTTATGTCTGACAACCTCGAAGATCTACAGGTGAAAAGCAACAAGTTGACAGGAGAGGAGAGGAGTGGAGAGGCGAGGTGACTTGAGATGAGGCAGCAAAAATGTAACTTCGTTCAGGCAAATGTAGAGAAAGCATAGGTGATGAAGATACCCAACCAACCAACCAACCAACCAACCAACCAACCAACCAACCAACCAAACAACCGACCAACCAACCAACCAACCAATCAACCAATCAACCAACCAACAACAACAAGCAGCACCAATCATCATGAATGAGAGAAATGTGAAGGAAGTAGTCTCTTTCACCTACCTAGACAGGACAGCATCGTTTCAACTACATGTGGTGGCACAGGTAACGGCATAGATGAGGATGTGAAAGCCAGTCGGATTGGAAAGACAACAAGACAGGCCTTCCTCCATTCATGTGAAATCAGTGTGGAGATCTACTGCACTCCACTGTACTGTATTGCACTCAGTGTGAGGCATGAAGCATGAAGCATGAATAAGATGCAGATTTTCAACACTAATACTGATATATCGATGAAGTGAGTACTTGTGTGTGATGGTTGATAGACTTGGCGCGTTATCTAAAGCATTTCCAAGAAACTGCACACATACATCATCCATAGCTGCCGCATATGCTGGCTTCATACTGAAGATCAGATGAGATGGCCACAATAATAATAATAATATTAAAAGTGAGCAGTGAGGAGCTCAGGTTGGCTGTCTGGCTGTCTGGCAACCAACCAACCAAGAACCCATCAACCAACAAATATACAGAAGTAGAAAGTGGAGGTGAGATGAGATGAGATGGATTGGATTGTGTTGGACATACACTGAGGAGACCATTGAGAGACATCACTTGCCTGGCCAGTCGTTGAGTGGAGTCCAGATGGGAAACGATGAGTTGGGTGTCCGAGGTGAGGGTGGGTGATATGGAGGAGATTGTGTGAGGAATAAATGAGAGTTTGTGGGGAGTTGTGGAGTCGGGTTGATAAGACTGTAGAGAAGAGAGTGAAATGGCTACGTGCTACTGAAGCTGTACGTTCTACTAGGAACCTGAGGGACAAATAATAATAATAAACCTACCTGATGAATCTCCAAAAGGACGAAACACGCATCCTGGATTCCTCTACAGGCTACAACCCAATCGATTATAACAATAATTTTCGGACAGGCTACAACCCAATCGATTATAACAATAATTTTCGGGTTTTGGCCAAATTATATTGATCATTCTGCAATCTTGCCAGCAAACTAGAAGATTCACCATCAAAGGGTAACTCGATGCTGAGTCTCCTAGCTTGATGGTCATATTGTTAAAATGATCGGTAGAATTCGGTCAGTACCCAGGACTAGACAACATGTAATTGGTTTCTGTCCAGTGATCAGTCAGCGTACACTTCTGATGAGCTTGACAGAAGATGCACAAAGCACCATCTCAGTGTTTGCTTCGCCTCTATCTAATTGGCATATACTGCTGATTGATCATAGGAGTTCTCAAATGCCTAAATCAACCAGTACTATTGATCAAGTAGTTCTTAAATACATCGTTATTTAGTGTAGATTATGATTTTAGCAATGTGTCCATAACAACATAAATATGATATTATTCATGTCACTAATGGGATCATAATTGTTATTTTCAGTCTTTAATGAACATAATTAAATTAGGTATTTGATTTAGGAACTGTTCAGGTAATCCATCCCAGTTGCTGATGAAATTTTCATCGTTTGCTTTTGGTTGTGCATTCCTGAGAAGTTCCAAACTAGGTTGGAACGGTTGTACAGCGACATAAAGTTTATCAATAATTCTGTAACTCCATAATGATTCTGCTTTTAAGTCAGTCAGTCAATCACTTTAAACCACTGGTTAAAATCTCTTAATTTTTATTCGGAATTGACAGTTTTTATCGCATCAGTAGGAAACCAGATGTCTAATGCTGAGGAGTCCCATGTTAGGACGAAACACCTCTCCACTGCTTCCATGTTTTAATGATTCCCCAACTGATGTCAGTCCGTGATAAATATTACCTTAGAAATAAAATCTCCATTGACCTGAAAATACATTGCTATGTAGTGCTTACTTATGAGTGACATGCTTCCAGTTAGACAGAACGAAAGTTCTGATGAAAAGCCTTGACCTATGGCGTCAACCAGTCAGAAGTAAAGCATATGCCAACTGAAGACCTTGGTGGATAGTTGTGCTCTGTCGAGAACTTGTAGAAATAGGAAACTGTACACTGTTGAATTCCGACCCATTGGCTAAATGGTTAACGCGTTCTCTCTGAAAGCTGAAGGTACTGAGTACAACCCCTGGGAGGGTGGTGCTGTGAGCAGTGTCATACTTAGACGAAACAGTTATGGAGTGCCGTCAGATGTCCATATATATATATATATATATATATATATATATATATATATATATATATATATATATATATATATATATATATAATCGCGTGTCTTAACACTTGATCAAAAGATTCTCTTTATTGACACGAATCAATGGGATTAGTGTTCACCGTCTCTTCTGCATACAGTGTTAACTACACTTTTCTGTTTGTTTTGT